AAAATATATTAAAAACCCTTTGGATCTAGATGTCTAGAGTTCCTACCAATAGTTTAAACAGAAAAAATGCAGCAAATCCATATGCAGTAAACTCAGTTCGTCACGAAATGTTTTTGAGGTATTTGGCTCAAAGACAACTCATGAAAAACTGAGTTTATTTTACATATTTGTATCAAATGTCTTGGGAAAATAGCTGGTTAGATCTTGACAAATAGTTTGAGGAAGGAAAAAGATGAGTAAATTATTACAGATATTAAAAATAAGGAAGAGAAATTATGTAGTTCAACTGAAGACAACTTTCACCCCTGAGAATAGATCTCTTGAAGATATGTTAGCTTTTGTTTTCATTCGTTCATTTTCCACAATTAGATTTTTTACACCAACGAGTGTAGCTGCTTTGACTACTTATGAAATTAAAAATGTGATTTTACAGCTGAATAATTTTAAAGCAGCACAATTTGATGCTCTCCTGCAAAATACTATAAAAACTATTGACTAGGACAAATTTTGGATGATTTTCCCTTATTGGAAATTCTCTATGAAATTAATTATTTTATAAATAGAATAAACAAATAGATATTTCTACTCAATCCTAGAAAAGAAATTAACTCAATAGCAAAATTTTCAATCAATCTTAAATTATGTGTTAAATTATGTAGAAATGCTTACAGTGGTATGGCCTTGTTTTATGAGCAGCACCTCAGCTACCTACATTGCCTTCCACTTTAATATAGATGGCAAGTGCCCATGTGGAAGGCCAAAGCACAGATGGCAAGATAGAATAAATGTGGACATGAAAAATGCCCAGGTGGACACAGATGCTGCATTTGATCATGCAAGATGGCGCTTGTTGACCTGAAAAGCACTTGCAGGAAAAATATGATGATGATGATGATTAATCTTAAATTATAGTAATAGCAATAGCACTTATATATCATTTCACAATGCTTTACAGCAAGGGTCCCCAACTGGCCAGTGGGCTGCAGAAACGGCTGGCTGGTGCGTGCATGGGCGCGGATTCCCCCCCACTCACGCTAGCGCCTGAGGCCCATTTGCACGTGCGGGCGGGCGCAAATGGAGATGCTGGCATGGGGTGGATGTCTGCAGCCCGTTTGCGCATGCGCTGCTAGCCCAGGTGGTTTGCACGGCCCATTAGCGCATGTCCGAATGGCCCGCTAGCCGCTGTGAGGGTGTGTGCAGCTGTTCATGCATGCCGCATGCACGAATGGGGCTGCTAGTGCCACACCGGGGTGTGTGGTCCCATGTGCGCGCGCAAATGCACGTGCACCAATTTTGAAGCTGCTCTCCTTCCCTCCAGGCCTCCAGCCTGGAAAGGTTGGAGACCTCTGCTTTACAGCCCTCTCTAAGCGGTTTACAGAGTCAGCATATTGCCTCCAACAATCTGGGTCCTCATTTTACTGACCTTGGAAGGATGGAAGGCTGAGTCAACCTTGAACGGTGAGAATTGAACTACTGAACTGCTGGCAGCCGGCAGTCAGCAGAAGTAGCCTGCAGTACTGCATTCTAATCGCTGCACCACCACGGCTCTTATGTCATGTCTATATTTCAGATTCCATTTATATAGAAAGTGCTTTGAATTAATGCTTCATTTAAATATATTTCTACTGTATATAGTGTCCTGTAATAGTGATATTTTGGGAAAAATTATTACATATACCAACTCAACTCAAATTTATAAATAACAATTTATACATGAATCCCTTGATATAAACTATGGATGGTTACAGTTAAATATGGCTTTATAAATATGTTTGTGTTTCTTTTCTGTTTTTTCCCCTCATAACTTGGTATATTTTTATTTTTCATTATTTTATTCAACTAGTAAAAAGCAAAAAGAAAACAACTTTCTTCCAAAATACTCCCAACTAAGTTTAGATAACACTAGAGATTGTAGTTTAAACAAATAAACTGATAGTAAATCATGATGGTAATTTATGATTAAGGTGCTCCTCCTTAAGCACAATTTCTTGGTCAGATTTAATGTATATTCTAGTTTCTCTTAAGATCATATAAATCCAGATGTCATACTAGGTTTAACTTCTTTATGCTTTAAAGCACTGTGTGAATGAAATAGGAGTGGCACATATTTTCTGATTAATGCAAGTCTATAAACTTATTGACAATGTATAATTCCTTTTTTCTTACAAGCTTTCACTGTTGCTGACTTGTGTAGATAACATTCATACAGACTCCACAGATAACAAAATAACTACATAAAATGTAACTAGAGCAAATTCCTTTCTTAGCAACTGTTGGGTTTTAATGGATTTCTGGATGTGTTTGTTTTTGCAGTCTAACCCTGAACAAATTCACAAGTATTAAACCTTTAAGAAGATTAGAACACCATGCTAAAGTTCTTTATGCTTCTTCTCCCTACTGAAAAAGAGTTCCATCTCTTGAGTTTAATTTCATTCCTGTAAAATGAAAATAAATCTCTAATCATATAAGAAAGTAAGATTACCTAATTAGTTAAAGATTCCCTCTTTAAAAAGCACTGTTTATGTTTTGTTCTTGAATTTTCTGTTCAAGTATTGTTTGGGAAAGTGTTTTGTTTAATGTTTAATGGCTTTTCTCTACTTTCTGTCATACTCTGTACAATTTAGGTTTGCTCACAGTGCCAATAATTAGTTTTAGCTGCAGTTTTCAAATAGCTACAGTTCTAATGAACTGCTACTTTATATAGCAGCCATGGGCTATAATAATAATAAAAAAACAGTAAGGAGTGAACATGGCAGCCACACAATCTAGCCATTTCTAATTGCATGGGTGGGGATAGAAGCTTAGAAGAAAAAATGGGAGGGGAGGAGCCATTTGATGGTTTAATCATTTTTCTGTTTGGAAACTGTGGAAAAATGTGTTGCCTTTACCCAAAATTTTGAGATCAAATATCAGCCATCCAGGATCTTGGGATGAGGCTCCTGGGTCCAGAAATTGCTCATTGTATAATGTTTCAGGGAGTGGGTCCCATTAAATCCAATAGGCCTTCTTTCCAGAGGAGATGCAAACATCTGATCACTAGTGCCACGGCTGAAAAGTCAAGCTTGCTTCCACAAAGTCAGCAAACCACTGAAAGCAGATCCGACTTGGTTGCCAAAATAGAAATGTACAATAATGGTAAGACTGATCCGCTGCCCTTCCCTTTTAGCCTCACATTCCATAAAGCAAACCTAACAAGAAACATTTTTTTTATACTCTTGTCAATGTTATTACTACCAAGGCATTGACGGGTTGCGGGGCACTGATTATTTCAGAAAGACATGAATAAAGAACACTAAACTTTCCTGCAAAAACAGGTGGACAAAGGTTTGAAAAGGAAAGACAATCCTGAGCCAGAATCCCTAAATTCCAGGGAGAAACGTCCCTGGTGCTGTTGCTTTGAAAATTCCCCATCTCGTTCCAACATTGTTTTCTATATGAAAGATGGAAAAAGGGCAGCCACTTGGAATAGGACTTGTTTCCTCATGCTTTTTGAATGCATAATCACTAAATCATAGTCAAGAACTAATGACACGTATCATAGGATGTATGTGTCAAAAGTAACTCATCTTCCACTATGACAGCTTCCTAGTTTTGGTATGGCACCAAAGCAAACACCCCCCCCCCCCCCATTCTTGATAACCTAATCTTTATGCTGGAAAGGTCTATTTGTTCTGTTTCTCTTTACCTTCCTTTGCTAAACTAAAACAAGAAATAAGTTTTAAGTAAACCAAAAAGCTACAGGTTTTAATAAATTAACTTGTTTGCATCTTTCCCAAATCTATCTATCAGAACTAAGTAGAACTTACACAGTAGTTCAGGCACTGTAAGTTACGTTGGCAGTTTTATTCTCAATCCTTTTAAAAGGATTGGTGCAGACGACACCAAGCTGGCAGGAATAGCCAACACTCCAGAAGACAGGCTTAGGATACAGGAGGATCTGGACAGACTTGAACACTGGGCGCTATCTAACAAAATGAAATTCAATGGTGAAAAAAGTAAAGTTCTACATTTAGGCAAGAAAAACCAAATGTACAAGTATAGTATAGGGGGTACCTTGCTCAATAGTAGTAACTGTGAGAGGGATCTCGGAGTCTTAGTGGACAATCATTTAAATATGAGCCAGCAGTGTGCTGCAGCTACCAAAAAGGCCAACACAATGTTAGGCTGCATTAACAGAGGGATAGAATCAAGATCACGTGAAGTATTACTACCACTTTACAATGCCTTGGTAAGGCCACACTTGGAATACTGCATCCAGTTTTGGTCACCGCGATGCAAAAAAGATGCTGAGACTCTAGAAAGAGTGCAGAGAAGAGCAACAAAGATGATTAGGGGACTGGAGGCTAAAACATATAAGGAACGGTTGCTGGAATTGGGTATGTCTAGTTTAACGAAGAAAAGGACGAGGGGGGACATGATAGCAGTGTTCCAATATCTCAGGGGCTGCCACAAAGAAGAGGGAGTCAAGCTATTCTTCAAAGCACCTGAAGACAGGACAAGAAGCAACGGGTGGAAACTAACCAAAGAGAGAAGCAACCTAGAACTAAGGAGAACCTTCCTGACAGTTAGAACAATTAACCAGTGGAACCACCTGCCTCCAGAAGCGGTGAATGCGCCAACACTGGAGGTTTTTAAGAAGAAACTGGACAGCCATTTGTCCGAAGTGGTATAGGGTTTCCTCCCTGAGCAGGGGTTTGGACTAGATGACCTCCAAGGTCCCTTCCAACTTTATCATTATTCTTATTAAAATAATTTCTACTACAGAATTCTTTTTTGTTGCACACCATTTTATTTAACTCTCCCATGACAAGACTTCTTTCTTGATCAGTCATTGTTAGCTGCAGTCCCATTGATATGTGTGAAATTTAGAGGTTTTGCTCTAATATGTATAATTTACAGTCCTTACACTGAACTGTATTTGCCACTTTAAAACCTATTCACCCATTTTAGTGTACCATCAAAGCAATATAAATAGACATTTATATGCAATATATATATATTACTTATCATATAATATATATGGAAATAAATGCAAGCCAGCTCCTACAATAATGGCAAAATTACAAACGTTTCTTTTTCATACCAGTTATAAAACCAAAAATAAAAACCAAAAATCATTCTTTGTTCCATGTGTGTCATCTTGTTCTCAAGACAACTACAGCTAAATCAGGATGAGTTGGAAGTTATTCTAGCCTCTGGCTCACATTTCGAATGTTGTCATCAGTGAGAGAAGCTGTGTCTTCTTAACTGAAACTGAAAAGGCTTCGTGGATAAATCCAACCCCACCCCTATTTGGACTGTTTCACCTTTACGTCCACAGGGATCAGGTGCCAATGGCTAAGGGTTACCGTAAAAGAGTTCCTTAGAAAACTGGACTTAACAGTGATATTCTCAGGCGTGGAAAATAAATTCTGTGTTCTACTGGATCAGGACAGCCCCAAATGACTCTAGACTCAAATTAGTCCTTTTGAGATTATCTGGAATGCTGTAGATCTTGTAGAAAAGGAAAATGAGTATAGGAAAAATTTTCATGATTGGCTGGCTTAAATGTTCCTTTTACTACTGTTGATTGATGCATTTAAAAGAGTCGGTCACATCAAAGCATTATTATTTTTTCCAACAACCATCAATCCAACAAGAAATGATGTGCATTTTGGATCTAAATTTGAGGCCAAAATCAGTGAGGGAGAACTTGTGTGAACATACATTATCTGTGGGTTACAAATAGGAATAGATGATTTTATCTTGAAGACTATTCTTGCTGCTGTGGTTGAACAAGATTTGGGCACAGAAATTAAGATGGTTTCTAAAGCGGCCACAAGTCCTTCATTGACGCTTCACACTTAGTTCCAGGTAACTGGCCATGGAGATTCCTGGATCTTCAGGAAACATAAGAGAGCCTGGCCTGGCCCACCATGATCCTCTCATGATCCCTTTCCTTGAGGATGGGCCTTATGAACTGCAGAACTTACTCACTTCTTGGGGCTGAGAGAGCCAAGTGGGGAACCTTGCACATAGGTCAGGATGGCATTTTGAAGGAAGCTGGCCCGCTGAGCTTCCTCCTCCCTTATCCTGGAGATTTCTGCTTCCCGAACCCGTAATTTCTCAAGCAGGCTGGAGATTTCACCCTCTTTGTCCAATAGTGCCTCCCGGTGGTTACTGGACAACACTAGAAAAAGAAAAATGAAACATGAATGCATTTAGCCTTTTTTTGACTCAGGATAATGAAATCCTTTAAAGCAGACATGTCAAACACAAGGCCCGGGGGCCGGATGCGGCCCGCAACGTGGTTTCATGTGGCCCGCGAAGCCATCCTGGAAACAGTGAGGGAACGGCCCCCGCTGCCTTGGCCCTGGCCGCCCGGGAGCCAATGTACAATTTTGTGGTGGCCATCTATGCTGAAATGCATTCAGTCTTAGCTCCACAAGGCCGTCTAGAAACAGCGAGGAACCAGCCCCTGCCGCGTTGGTCCCACCCTCTGGGCGCGCGCTGGGGAGGTGTCACCCTTTGTGAGGAATGAAGAAATGCACCATCGCCTGGAAGTGGCCAGCAAATGGCCCTCGCCTACTTCACATATCTGGCTTGATGGGCTCCGGGGGAGGGGTTTCGGCACGCTCTTCCAGTGGACCAGGTCTTGGCGCTTGCACAGGTCCCACCCCCTTCTGTCCCATTCCTGCCCAGGCGCCCACAGGCACCCTTGATGCAAATGATATAGAGCTGGCCATGCCCACCCAGTAGGCCATACCTACTCCAGCCACGCCCACCCAGTAGGCCGTGCCCACCCTGGCCACACCTACCCGACCCCCCCAGGACAACCGCAATGCTGATGCGGCCCTCAATGAAATTGAGTTTGACACCCCTGCTTTAAAGGCAGAATACATTTTACATGGCCTCAAGAGAACTACAAGATGTTACATAATTTTTTTTTAGATGATTGAAACAGCTAGATGATGTCATTGTCTACATTTAGAATGAAAGAGTAATCGAGCCAGGATACATTAACTGTGGCTGATTTTTTCCTAAGATACCATTAGCTTGGCAACAGAAAAGTTTTTCAGCATTATTGAGCAGTGTCGGGCTTCAGGGTTTAGTGACTGTGGTTCACCAGCAACAGTGAGTGATATCTTTAGAGTCAAGATGGTCTGCACAGACCACAGCCCAGTCAGTCCTTGCTCAGTTGCCTATGGCCTGACCACCATGCCACTGAAGATGCCAGCCACAGTTGCTGGCAAAATGTCAGGACTACGGCCACTGAATTCTGAGGTTGCCAAGCAGATGCCAGCCAAGCAGATACCAGCCGATACCTTTCCGGAAGGCCTCTGTACCGAGCTATAGCTCCAGATCTGGGGCTTCACTTACACTTCAGTTAGGTAAGGTATTGATTACTGGTGCAATATTATGGCACATCATGTAAATTGCTGCAGGTACTTTGGTGGAAGAAGGGCTTTTCTAGTTACCTTTCAGCTGGCGCTCAAGGGCCGCAATCTTCCCTCGCAGCCCTTCTTGTGCTGTTCTCTCAGCTTCCAGGTGACCAATCTGCTCCTGCAGCTCCACACGCACTTTATTGACCTCGGAAACTTTCTCTTGTTCCTTACTGCCCAGCTCCTGCCATCATAGCAGGGGGGGGGGAGCAAAGTAATCAGCGGCTTGTGCTTCAAATGTTAGTACTACAAAGTCATAACGGCCACATGGCGCACACCTTCACCATCGGCCCAACAACCCTGCACTTGCCCTGTGTCTCACCCTCCCTTTACCACTCTTGGGATACGTATATTCCCAAATAAAATTGGGTATGATGGGAGGCTGCCTAACAGAGTAGAGCACCTAAGCAACTTTGGGTAGTTGTGGAAAACAAAGGAGGTTCAGATCCTGCTTGTTACTTGGATGGGATACTGTCAGTAAATCCCCAATTTGTAAAGTAGGCTAGGAATGCCACTCCTCACCCCTCATTTGAGAAGGCAGCAATAGGAAGCCACTCTCCGCCATTGCCAAGAAAACTACCGGGATGGGTCAAGTGTCCTACCAGGAGTCAGCCTCAATTTAAGGGAATTCTTTAATTTTTTTAATGATGAAGTTATGTTGAAACTACTAGAGATATTGCGAGTATTTGAGTATGAAACAGGAAAAGTGATCTTCTTTAAAGTTTTGCCAAGAGGGACAGGAACTGCATGCACCCCCAGCCAGCATTACCACGAGAAGCTCTTGGTTCAGATAAGGTGCTTCTAGGAACAGAATAAAACCTACAAATGTTAGGGGTCATATATTATACTAAGTTTCCACCCCGGTTTGTGCTGTCAGTCGCAAGTGATTGACTTCACAATACACTTAAGTCATAAGCCATTGTTTACAACCTGCAACAACCAGGTATTATACAGGAGAACTTTCCTGGAGGCAGAAAAGAACTACTTGAAAGATGATCTTTGCTAACCAGACAATTTACTTGTTCCATATGTTTCATAAAACAGTCTACCATCCCTAGCTTAGCAGTGTGGAATCCATAAACTAGGAGCATCTGAACTTTGACTGTTTTTTTTGAACCATGCCCTCTGTCTATTCAGAAGAACCTTGAGCTACAACCATAATGGAGTCTGCCCACCATGGTCATAATTCCTGATGGTCGTAAAATGGATCGGTCACATAACTGACCTTATGATCATTTTTGCAGCAGCTGTTAAGTGAACCAACCACAGCCTTTAAGTAAACCAACCACTCGCTATGGGCACAGTTTTGCCAAAAACCAGAGGAAATTCCCAGTTTTTGGCAAAACTATCACATGGCACCAGGATGCTGCAAACAGCTGTAAATGCGGTCTGGTTGCCATGTGTCCAAAGTGCAGTCCAATGACTATACGGGAGGGGGGGAGAGGGAAGAGACCTGACCATTGGAAGTTCAAATCTGGGTGATAAGTACCCTCCAGGTAAGTCCGTTGGAATTCAAACAATGGCAAGGTGACCGGTTGTTAAGTCAAGGACTATCTCGATTCCCAGGTATGTACACAAGGAAGTGTAGCCTACTTGTCAGAACCCGGTTGTTGGGAGGGGGGTAATCTTTATTCTTGCAGGTTCTGCCATAAACCTGGGGGGAGGGGGGGAGCTATGGGCGCTAGAATGTATCCTCTCCGCTTTCCTCTATCTGCCTGCTCTTTGATCTATTTCCCTTGATGCCAGTCTGGGGTGAAAATGGAATGTGCCTCCGGCCATCTGCCTTATCTCTAGCTGCGGAAGAAGAGGCACGGAGACCTAACAGCCTTGGGAACGGCGCCTTACCAACTCCATTCCCACAGCGGATTCACACCTCGGGTTTGGGCCATTTGAACTGGCCGGATGGACTATTGGGGTGGGGTTTGCCAATTGCTCTTTTAACCTATTGATTCGTGCGGGAAACCCTCAGATCCTGCCTTCTATGCCTGCTGTCAACTTCTCCTAATAAAAGTTCCTTTTGGAATGAAGCTGTTCCAGGAGTTCTGCTTTCTTGGGAAGAGGGATTGAGGCAGGTCCTTACACTACTGTTGAATGCTGATATCAGGCTTCTTCCTGTGGGACTTTTTCAACTCGCTCACCTGCTGAAGCTCTTCCAGTCGCCTCTTGAGTCCTTCCACCTGCAGACTCAACTGGCCTTCCTTAGCGTGTGCTTCTGCCACTGTTTGCTTCTGCTGCAAGCAGTAATTCTGTGCCTCGTCACGGGATTGCATCATCAGCCTCAGCTTCTCCTCCATCTGCTCTAGGCGCTGTTGCTATTAATTGCCCACAAAAAAAGAAAGAAAGGAATCATCTTTTTTCAATCTATTGCTGATATGTAAGAATTGGACATATCTTATTAATAAGATTTTATTTTATTTCCATTATGAGTTTTAATCTGTTACCTGAACATATTGATTTTTTTTAAAAAAAGCCTCTCTAAATTAGAAAGCGTCATCAACTATCCATCAACTTGGCTACCTCCAATTATACTGAGATGTAATCAGAATTCCCAGGTTGGTCTAGACCAGGGCTTTTCAACCTTTGGTACGGGTACCACCTGTGGTACATTGGCACCTGGCAGGTGGTACGCGGCCATCCTAGAAAAGTGGTAGCGGGGGAGGGGAATGAGCTGAACTGGTGGCAGCACCGCACAAGCCTGAGCGAGAGACCGCTGGAACTGTAGGGCTGTCAGGACTCAGTGGAAGCGCCAGGATCAGTGCTTCTTCGGGGCTGTCAGGGCTCAGTGGAAGTGCCAGGATCAGTGCCAGGCTCCAGCTGGAGCTCGGGGCTGATCCTGGTGCTTCTGCTGAGCCCAGAAGAAGCGCCAATCAGCTGGAATGTTGCAGCATCTCCAGGGTCTTGTGATTTACATTCAGATGCTTGGCAACTGATTCATATTTATGACGGTCACAGTGTCCCAGGGTCATGTGAAGTGACCAAAACCTGCAGATGGGGGGAATAAAAACCAAAAACCCCCACCCCATCCTCGCTGCCAATCAACAGAAATGCTCACAACAATGAAAACCTCGGACAGGAGGAAGAGCGCCGCTGGGCGGGCAGGCAGGTGTCTTGCTCGGCTGTGGCTTGGGGGGCACTTTTTTCAGTGCCATTGTAGCTTCGAACAGTCACTAAGCGAACTGGTGTAAGTCGAGGACTACCTGTACTTTATCACTTTTTTCTTTTTGGGGGGGGTGTCATCAAGTTTTTGACACCTTGCTAGGCGAGTGGTGGTACTTGGATGTTGCCATATCCTAAAAGTGGTACAATGGGTGAAAAGGTTGAAAAGCCCTGGTCTAGATTAGTTTTTCCTCAATCTGGTCAACTTTTAGAACAATGAAGTTCAACTGGTGAATGCTGGCTGGGGAATCCTGGGAGTTGAAGTCTATACATTTTAAAGTTGCTAAGGTTGAAAAACACTGAGGATATTAGAAAAGAATGGGTGCTTCCCTTTTAAAATGTTCCTTGCCACCTGCAACTTTTATAAGGAAGACTTAAAACACAGTTCATTCTCTTTATTCTATTTTACCTAATAATAACCCTGATGTGAGATAGAATAAACCAAGTATATCAGTTCTGGGCCGTGTACTGTAAGAGTGAAAATATTTGCTTGATGCAGCTGAAAACGTAATGTTAAATTCTCCCCAAATGGACATTCATCCAAGTAGAAAATCTTAGCATGCCAGTTACAAGAAAATACCTGTTTTAGGTGGTCCTGCGTCTCTGTCTCTACTTCATTTTACTTTCTGATGTATCATTGGCACGAACAGGGAATTAACGGATGAAATTATGTAGCAATGCTGCTTTTGAGCTGCCCTGTCAGCCTTACCTCTTCCAACCTGGTTTGGTTTTTGGCTCTGATGACTTCTTCCTCAATTTTGCCTCGTTCAATGAAGGCGGCAGCTTTCACTTGGCTCAGTTCCTAGGGACAAGGCAGAAGAACAAGGCACTGCAGTTTCTGATCGTAAAAGCAAATCAAGAAACCTGCCGTGGTCTGAATCTGGAGACATATTCTTAGAGAAAATCCAAAGCCACTGAGGACGAAACTCAGTTGGTTTTCCAGGAAAAAAGCCAACAATATTGGGAAGCCCTTCCACTCACCTCCTCGAGCCCAATGCGGATGGCCTCCAGCCTTTGGATGCGCTCCTGCAGAGCATGTTCACTTGTCTCCATGTGCTGAGTTATCTGTCCCACCTGCATGTCAAGCACCATTGTTCAGAGGATCTCTAGCAGCACATAAATAATGATTGACACCAGCCTTTCTCTTCGGTAAATGGGAGACACACGAGGAATATTGGAGCAAACTAAATGTCTTTATTCAAGAAAGCTTGGGGCACATTTTCCAACTCCTTAGCAAAGAATCCAAACATAAAACTGTAATATGAACCCACAGAAAGGGACTGACATCTATCTGTCTGTCTATATCAGTGGTGGCGAACCTATGGCCCGGGTGCCAGAGGCGGCACTCAGAGCCCTCTCTATGGGCACGCGTGTCCTCGCCCCAGTCCTAGGCCTTCAGCTGGGTTTTATAAAACCTTTTCACTTTAGGCCTCCACCGCCGTGTGCAAAAAAAAAAAAAAAAAATTCAATCAGTCAATTTCAACTTCTCGCGGGAAAAAAAAGATCTTGCAAAGTTGGAATTGATTGATTGAACTTTTTAGTCCCACTCAGTCTGCCATTACCACCGCAGCCACGCCCACCCAATTGGCCACACCCACCCAATGGGCCACACCCACCTGACACTCGACGATGCATAAGTGGGTTTTGGGTTGCAGTTTGGGCACTCGGTCTCTAAAAGGTTCGCCATCACTGGTCTATATCATAGTTCTTAACTGCCCATCTTCCTCAGATATATAATGAAAAAACAGAGCCCTGAATTTTGAAGGGTAAGGATGATCCTATTCTAAAGGAAGGAAGGCAGAGTTATTTAGGATAGTCTGATTCCCAAAAATCCTGACCTAAAAAAGAATTCCATCAAAGGGAAACATAATTGCCTTCCCTGGTCTCAAGACTCTTGGATTGTAGATGTGAGGCAATAGTGAAAGTGTGCAATTACTTCTGTGGAGCTGTGGAGAGTGGGGGGGCTCTGTAATGGAGAAACCCTTGAAAGGAAACAATTTCCTGGCATTCTGACCAAGTCTTACAACAGTCCCAAAGGTCTTCCTTTATTCACATGGCCAGGATGGAAGAGCTCAAGACTCTTGTAGGCAAGCCATGATTGCATCCTCTCTTGTAAACAAGGGTAGAATGGGTAGAATTTATTTTCAAGTCAGAAAGCACATTTGAGACAGAACTACTTCAGACACACCCCCTGTCCCTGGAGGAATGCTAAAATTCCCACAGCCTCCTCACCTCCTTCAGACGAAGGGATTCTGTATCATTCAGGACCTGCTTGAATCGCTTCTTTTCGTTTTCCAAACGCTCTATGGAAAAACAAATATAGTGAGGTCCCCAACTCCTTTCATCTGTCTTCCCTTTCTGAAGGACTCCAACAAAGCTCTTCTTTCACTCAGTAGCTGAAGACCTATGAATTACGCTCACCTTCAGCCTGTACAACTCTGAGTTTCATTTCTGCTGTTGTGTGGGTCAGCTCCTCCTTCACCTGGAACAGTTGCTCTTGCTGGATTTTGCATCTTCTTTCCAGCTCATCCACCTAGAAGGAAATCCACTCATAGTAGAGAGACAGACAAGCCCCCATCTCTCTACAATAGGTTGCTGGGAAAGAGTGTCGAGCACAAACAGGCAACCTGTAGTTCACAAGCAACAAGAAATCCTTGGCAGCCTTCTGTCTGAAGGGCTTCCTGGTGGCCCACCTAGCAACTGATTAATGTCTATGGCAGACATGTCAAGCACAAGGCCCAGGGGCCGGATGCGGCCCATGAAGTGATTTCATGTGGCCCGCAAAGCCATCCTGGAAACAGTGAGGGAATGGCCCCCTCTGCCTTGGCCCTGGGAGCCAATGTACAATTTTGTGGTGGCCATCTATGCTGAAACGCATTCAGTCTTACCTCCATAAGCCCCCCCACCCGCATGGCCTCAGAGGAACAGTGAGGCTCTTCCAGTGGACCATGCCTTGGCACTTGCCCTGGTCCCATCCCCTTCTGCCAGAGACCCTCAGATCTATCCCACTCCTGCCCAGGCCCCCTGGCACCCTTCATGCGAACGATGTAGAGCTGGCCACACCCACCCAGTATGCCACACCCACTCCATCCACGCCCACCCAGTAGGCTGCACCCACCCTGGCCACACCCACCTGGCCCCCTGAGGGCAACCGCAATGCTGATGCGGCCCTCAGTGAGATTGAGTTTGACACCCCTGGTCTATGGAATAGGTGCTGTCAGCCTGATCAGCAGGCTGCCTGGGCAAACTGTTCCACTGTGTTGGATTGACTGCATTTATACATTTATGGCTCGTAACCCACAACCTGTAACTCACTGAAGCAATTGCCCAAAGCTGCTATTGCCCAAGGCTGCATCCAGGAGCCAAAAGCTAAATTGA